TTTGTGTACATCTCTGTCTGCATGCGGACTGTGGTTTGTACGTTTTCACAGTTGATGACGCATGGGTCCGTTGGTATTTCTGCAGTCAAACACATTTTTAAAATAAATGAAGAAACCTGTCACGCCCAGCTCCGTCCGATCCTAATGTGTGCCACGCCCACCTCATTACCTCGTGTTCATCCCTGATTGTTCTCACCTGTTGCTCGTTACCCTCAGCTTGTCTTGTGCATTTAGTCCGAGTCTCAGTCAGTCTTCCTCAGATCAGTCATTGTGGTGTCATGTTTGATGTTTGCCGTCCTGCTTCCCCAGTCCTGTTTTGCTAATAAATCCCCGTTTGACCCGACTTCCTGGCTCCTCTCCCCTGCTTCCTGGATCGCCTGTTCCTGAACGTGACAAAGCCTTGTGCTCAAAATCTTTTGAAACCCTTTGTTCGAATGAAACAATGATTTGTATATGCACAGAATGCATGGGAAGAGATAAGGGCAATATTCCAAAATACAGACATGCGCAGTGTTAAGAATCAGCATGGTCAGTGTCTATGCAGACACAAAATCTTGGTGCTGCAAGCATTTGTGTCACTTGCATCGTAAGCATACGCACATATCCACAGGCGGAGAAGTTTGAACAGGCCTTTTCACAAACAAGCAATTTAGATATGCCAATTGGCTTAACCACACATGGGGGGGGTCCACACAACCCTGCAGGTGAAAGCATGTGATGTTACCTACTGCGCCAAACCTGCAGCCTTTATGTCATTACTTTACTAATTACTAATTGTGTTGTGAAATTGCAAACCGCATTGCAATGTCAGATGAGAGGGATAAATTACTTCTAAACTGTTCCTTCTTGCGGGGAAACATTACCTTTCGGTTGCCAAAAAAAATTGATACGATAACATTCCTTTTCTGTACATTCTAGCCAAGGAACACAATGACTATATTCACAATGTGCTCATTAGCTTGAAACTGCGGTCTGGAAGGTATCCCTGAGAACAAAAGAGCCTTATATTTGAACATACAGCATAGCTTGTTTTGTATTATAGACATAGGCAGGCATTAGTAACGATTACATAGTTTCTCTCAGTTGGGGGAGGACACAGCAAATAAAGGGAAATTTATTATTATTATTATTATTATTATTATTATTATTATTATGTCAACTGAGATGCCAGCTGGTGTGTTATAGTTGATACCTAGTTCTGCAGAGATCAGAATAACATTGTACACACAAACCTAGGATCCAGCACAGTTTGTGTTGAGTTGCTTCTTTGACAAATGCAATTGGAAAACAACATTAAATAAAGAGATTTGGAATTCACTCAGTCACATGTGAAATAATTTCACTTTCAGACTGACATTCAGGGGAACAAGTCCTGCCCCCTGCTTTGTGCATTTGCGGTGCATTTGGGGTCCGGTTTTCCCCCACAAAAAACAAAACCATTAATCAATCAATCAATTAGCCAATTGATTAGTAATTAATTAAATGATTAACTAAGTACTACAGAATTACACAATACAGGCTTCAGTACAACAATGCATCACAGTAACAACAAATAAAACAAAACGATTAATATGGTTAATTTGAGTTGCCAGATTGCCCATAGGCGTGAATGGTAAGTGTGCTCTGTAATGGGCTCGTGCCACATTCTGGGAATTTCCTGCCTTGTGCCTGTAGCTTCTAGGATAGAATCTGGACCCCTAACCCTGCATATGACAAGCAGGTACAGAAAAGAGATGGAAGTTTACTGAGCATTCTGTAAGAAAATCTGACATATAAGCATGTCTGCGGGCAGCCTCAGCTTGCTGTTCTAGACATGAGGTTTATACTTCAGAAAAACACAGCACTTCTTTATTTTCTCATCAAAGTGAAAAAAGTTTTAGTCGGTCTCCAGGCAACATCACTAAGACACAAGGGAACATGGAGATAGCAGGTGATAGAGTTCACCTCATCAATAATCTACGTTTCATAAAACAGCCTGGATGACACAGGCTTGGGATCTACTTTAGTCCTGGCTCTGGATCATCAGCCTGTAGTGTAAGACTAGAAAGTGCTCAGCAGTAAACATGACTATACTGAAAATGGTTGTGTTGGCATGGATGCAACGGTTTGAAAAGAGCAATTTCACTTTTCATGTGTCACGCTCTTTTCAGAGGCTGTTTTGCACCAGGGAAAAAACGTTATTCTGTGGTTATATACAAAAATGGTAATCTCAGAAAGCTTTGCAGAAGAGTCTGATTTATATGTGGTAAAGCATCCCAGAAACACCCAAGAATACAGCTATTTTGAACGAAGTGATTTCACATTTAATATAGGGGTGATTTAATGACACTTAAGGTGATAGAATATCTTCTGTGTCTTTTTCCCCTTTACAGATTTAGGAAAATCAAATGCACATTGAATGCCAAGACATAAAGTGTATTAGCAAACTGGTCCCAACCCATTTGACAATCAAATGATTCATTGTCCAGTTTTCCATTGAGTCTTTGCTTTAATCTAATGCAGCAGGAATATGGGGCAACAGTCATTTTGTTTAGGCATACTGATGTGCTTGAGCACATTATTTTCAAAATCAACTTTATGTGGCTGACAAAAGTCTACAAATATCTTCCGGTTCATTTTAAATTACATAACATAAACGCGTGTTCTCTTATTGCTGTTTACATTCCTGGGAAATTCTAATGCCTTGAACAGGCCATTATGTTAACTGCTGTTTTTTATCATTTGCAAGCTGCTTGTTGAATTTTATTAGGCAAGCTGCTACGGGTTGTGAAGGAATTATTCTTAATATGCTTAAGTAATGCACAGTCTTTCAGTGCATTAGCCAAATTAATTCAATTTGGGCATGGCTAAGAACTGTCAGCTGCTTTGAAAAGATATACAGTATACAGCCAGCATCACTGCAGTGTGTCTGTTGTCAGTCCCCCATCTTTGTGGCTAAAAATTCTTCCCCATTTCTGCGAATAAGGAACATAAAGATCAAATCAGCATCAGACATGGAACAGTGCACCTTAACAACCAGATAAACATCTGTAATGTTATTCAGAGGTAATTTTTAACTGGCAACCAAAAACAAGAAAGCAAACTGATCTGCAGCAGTAGTACAGCTCGAAAGGTCCTACAGTGCCAGCGAAATGTTTACCCCGATCACCTCAGATGCCCTTTCAAAGAAAAAAAAATGTTTCTGCCATGAGTTCCATCCCCCGGATTCTAGAACCTTCACACATTTCACCCTGAGAACCAAGCACCTAAGTGGGCTGTGGACATGTAAGTGATTCCTGAGGTATTACTTTATTCAAATCATCCATTTATTACCAAAATAGATAACAGTGTATAGAAACAATATTACATATTACAGCAGTGAGGAAAGGGTCTTTTTTCCAACATATATTTGTAATATGTTTCAGTTAAACTTTGTAGTTATTAGTTTACACAAAATATTTTGGTGACGGTAGGTAAACACAAAAGTTTGCTTAGTGAAGCAGAACTTAAATTAACCTTGCTTGATTTTTCCATTTTCTATGAGAACTGTACATGTTAGAATTTCTGACTATACTGTATGTACTATGCTCATTCACCAGACTAAAGGTTCCAATCAAAAACAGCTTCTTCTTTCAGCTCCATTATGGAACAGATTACATGGAGACCCAACCCTTTCGTTGTTTGTATATATTACACAGAAACTCCACCAATTGTACACAGGAACTGAGACAAGTACATTTTGTAAGAAGGACATAATACCTAAGGAGTGACATAATACCTATTGCAATATACGCTATAGTAAAGGCCCCCAGCTCCCAAGTTTTTGGCCACTGAGATCCTGGAGTGTTTCCCTGGAAGCATAAGGCAAAGCATCAGCATGGGTAGGACGCCAATCCAGTGCAGGGCTGCAGGGCTGCAGGGCTGCAGCACACAACGTGCGATTTGCAGATACGAACACGTCTACTTAGGTATTTTCGGACTGCTGCACAAAACTACTAAAAGTACCGGATGGAAACCCACAGAACACAGGAAAAAACAAGCCTGTGTCAACACCACAAACAAAGTGTACTGCACCACCAAAGCAGCAAAAAAACCAATACGGTGTATTTATAATGTAGCCTATATAGGCCATTATGATATGATGATGTCGGCAATTCTTCAATGGATCGTCAAGCTAAATATATAATTTAGAGCTAATTGATAATAATTGAACAGCAAACCTCATGTCTTTAGAAGTCAGTATATTTGTAATAGGAATATAATACAAAGGAATTGCATGTCATCTATTACTATTCACAGCATTACCTCTATTAAAATGCACATACCAAACATGAATTATATGTTTTAACTAGAGAAATGGAATTATCACGTTTTATATATTTTTTGGTGCCACTTTACAATAAGGCTACCCATAAAAAGAGTTTACGGATTGTTTATGATCTGGTTATTAATTAGGTTGTAGCACTTTGTAGATTATTAATAGACAATTTTATAAAAAAAAAATATATATATATAATTAATGAGTTACTACCATTTACAAGTAGCAAAAGGGAGCCTTATTGTAATGTGGTGCATTTTTTTTTACCAACTATATTATTAGAAAACTTCCCAGCGATACTTATTATCACAAACAGGTAGCTGTAATATTGTTTCTCCGTTTTGTTGGCATTTTTACAACGAATTAGCTTACAGTTTACATAGGCAGCACGTACATGGTAAGGTTCTTCTCCGTTTCTCACTATCATGCCCGATAAACCGGAAGGCGTCTATTGACTGAACAACTTCTTAATAAATGAAGGCATCATAAAAACGTATTTAACGACATATTTACTTTACCCGCGACACTGGACTGGATAAGCAGCTGTAAGAAGAGTGAACGAGTGTATTTATTTCGGACGAATTTAGTTGCGTGCCCGTTATACGCGTACGGGCTTATGTTTCGGTTTGAGCCCCAAGTGATGTGAAACTCCAACGCCACACCTACTCAGCTTGTTTTTTCCCCATTTCACCGGTTTCATCACTCGGTTTTACTTGATGTAAGCAGCGTACGAGAGAACTTCTTGTTAGATTTAAGGTGGCTAGCTACGCGTGTATAATCGGGTCTATTTAAAAAAAAAAATAAAGTAAAATTATATATTGCAATTAACACTAATATTTGGAGTACAAAGTTCTCAGTTGTAAACTGCTTCTGATTAGACCTTTATCTCGAGGATATAAAACAACCATGGACTTTGGTCAAGTACCATTTTTGTTTTAGATTGTCATGGATCTGCAAATACATACGCATAATAATATATTATAATATATATGAACTTTTTGCACCCACGGGGAATAGCTGCTTATTCGTCAAAATCGACGCACGAATACTAAGAATGACATTTTACTAAGAACGAAGCACCGTTATGTTTTCCTTGTAAATCCTGCATTTCTTCGTGGTATGAGGAACTCGGCATTTCTCCAGCATGAAGTATTAGTTGGCATTCATTAAGAATATTTCTCTGGCTGCCACGGCTAAGAGCTCGGGCAACATTTTTTAAATGGAATATAAGACAACGAATCTATTTCTACTGCTCGAGGTAAGTCTTATAAGCAAATCAGAATTACTCGTTACTAAACTCCCATGATTGAAAGTTGCATATAATATGATAAAAGTAACTATTAAATATACCTAAACATAAATTTAAGGTTGACAAGATTGCAGTTAAGGTTTTTTCCACACCTTTTCATTTTCTTACCGTTTTTCATTGTAGAATGAAGATAAGATGTTCTTCTCTATTAAAACTTCTTAAAAAAATATTTATTTTCTTCATATTTCTGTTGCTTATATATTTATTTAAATCTCAGTACATAAAAGGAACTTTGAGAGACAGCCTTTTCATTGAGCCCTATGGGAGCTTCTCCAAAATTTTGCCCAAGTACGATATTGACTGTGAGGCAGTTTATGAGTTGGACCCAGTGGAAATTGGAAAAACCTTAGAAATAAGAAGGAAAAATATTGTTGATCTGGAGGATGATGATATTGCAGCTTTGACCTCAGACTGTGAGAAATTCTCCAAAGCCAGAGGATATGCATCTCACCCCACTTCTGAGGAGGAGCATCAGTTTCCTTTGGCCTACTCCTTAGTTGTACACAAGCGTGCTTCAATGGTGGAGAGGATCTTGCGGGCAATCTACATGCCTCAGAATGTTTACTGCATTCATTATGACAAGAAATCCTCCAAAGAATTTACTGAAGCTGTGAAGAATATCGCCAAGTGTTTCCCTAACGTCTTCATTGCATCAAAGCAAGAGTCCGTGCAGTACGCGGATATCACAAGGCTCAGGGCTGATCTTAACTGTCTGTCAGACCTTCTCAGGTCTCCGGTCAAGTGGAGATATGTTATAAACTTGTGCGGCCAGGACTTCCCTCTCAGGTCCAACTTCGAGCTGGTGACAGAGCTGAAAGGCCTCCAAGGAGCCAACATGCTGGAGTCCAGCAAGCCCAGCAACTTGAAAAAGCTTCGTTTCCAGTTCCAGCATGTGCTTAAAGACGTACCCTATGAGTACCATAAGCTGCCCGTGCGGACCACACAAGCCAAGGAGATGCCGCCATATAATATTGAGGTTTTCAGTGGGAGTGCCTACTTCGTCCTGTCACGCGAGTTTGTGAATTACACTCATGGGAACCGAATGGTGGAAGACTTCTTGACCTGGTCGGCAGATACCTACTCCCCCGATGAACATTACTGGGCCACTTTGGTGCGGGTGCCTGGTGTGCCAGGTGAGATCCCCAGGTCCAGGCCTGACATCACGGACCTAATGAGCAAGACGCGACTGGTGAAATGGAACTATCTGGAAGGCTCCCTGTACCCAGCGTGCACTGGTGTTCACATTCGCAGTGTCTGCATATATGGAGCAGCAGAGCTGCGCTGGCTCCTGAATTATGGCCACTGGTTTGCAAACAAGGTGGACCCCAAGGTGGATCCTGTGTTAATTAAATGTCTAGAGGAACGACTTATAGCGCAGCAAAAAAAACTAACAAAGCAGACTTTGATTGGAACAAACGTACTGTAAGATGCATAGTGTTTTGCCAGTATCCTGCTGGCCTATTTCATGTCCATTGAACTCCAGGTTAGATTATAGCTTTGATCCACCAATATACCAAAAAGACGTCCAGTTTTCTAATACTAATAATGCTTTGGCTAAAATGGGTGGTTTGTAGTTTCTGACTGAGATGTTTTTAAAAAAGATCCAAAGCAAAGTGGGAGAGGTATCACAGAAGAAGCTATATCACAATGCACAATAACGTGTGCAAGGTTTGCGGATATAAATTTCTATCATTGGTGTAAACTTGATTTTAATTAATCCATTAATTATTAACATTTTCTATTTGAGACTGATATTTTGCCTTTCAAAGTATCTGACTGAATCAAAGAATTAATGGCATTTGAAAATTTAAAGTTACTTTCATAAGGGAAAATTTACCTAGCTAGAAATGTTTGGCAGTTTTTAGAAAATTTTACAAAAATGTCAGTGAGACACCAGGTTGCCTTTGCAATGATAGAAAAAAAGTGGAAGATTTAGTTTCCAATACTCCATTTTCAAAAAAGTTCAAAACTGTTTATTTTCTAATATATTTTTATTGACAATTAAATGGAAGAAATATTGAAATGGTGAAACAGTCAATGACTGAAGACTGCAAATCATGTTTACAATAAAACTTAGAAAAATAAGGAAGTTTGGCTATCTATCTCTCTGTCACTTTATTTCCACATCCTGTGGCTAATCTGGAACATTTCCCTGAATTGTTACAGTATGTCTCAATGCTTGATTTAGAACCCATTTTTATGAATACTGTCTTGACTACTGTCAAGAAGTGTTGAATATTACGATTTTTCTCAATTGCTTTGGCACACTTCGTAAAGCATACTTAACATTCTCAAGACTATAAGAGCATTTCTCAAAACAGTTCATGCATGTTGCACAACCATATGGTTTAGCTGCAAAAGCCTGTAACTTACCCAAAACAATTAATTAAGGATTCAAAAACTAATAATTCCACCAATGAATTAGTCAGTGCCACCAAAATGAAAAGTATAACCAGCTTCATTTTAACCATGAGAGTCAAAATGCGCCAAAGCAATTGAGGAAAAATGTAAAACCACCATAACACACACTTCCCTTCTTGCAAACGTAGCAGAGCAAAAGTTGGCAAGAAGTAAGGAAGTAAACTGGCAAAACAATGGTTACATTGGCATGCAGCGCTTTGCATACAGTATAATACAGTTTTTTTTGCCTGCTTTGGAGAATTTCTCAAATGACAACATTTGCAAAACAGCAAGCGTAATCCCCACACCATAATGTCACTTCCTCACAGCAGAACATCGCTTCTCATTGTTTCACACAAATTTCCCAATGTTTTAGTTCATATGTGCAAATGACTTTCTACAGTTATCATCATTTGGCACAATTGTCAGTTGTTTTAATCTTGTTGGTCAAAATAGATTATGTAGTTTCCCACTGCAATAATTTTACACCCAAAACTGTACAGCAGTGGAAAAAAGCGACTTTCTAATTACAGAAATTACCATTAACTTATCCAGCAGTTTCTCATGAATTGTAGGATGACATCAAGTGACCTTCAAAATGAATGGGAAACATTAAGTGTGCATGTGAAGTGCACTGCTAGGACAGTTTGTATCAGGCTCCTAGAAGCAGAACTGAAGTATAATAAAGCAAAGAAGAAGCCCTTTATTAATGAGAAACAAAGAACGAAGAACCTGGCTGCAGTTTGAAAAATATATATTACTGACCAAGGCACACTCGTAAATTTCACAATAAGTGTGTGTGGTCTCTCAATTTTTTCCGTGGCTGTATATGCATGAGATCATGGTGTTAGCCACCAGAAGCAAAATTAGCCAATCTGTCAACGATATACTCCATAAATGGCAGTGACAGAGCATTGTGTTTTTAGTTCCCTCAGTACATTTTGCTGTCGTTGTGTCATTCAGTTCTGTGTGACTTTTTTTGTTTTGAGATCCAAAGAAGTTACATGTGTGCTTTCTCTTGCCCGTGAACTTTACATAATGTACAGCACTGCAATGTTGAAACTGGTGTCTTTGACATGAATAAGTAACAGTTTGCTAAAGAAAAATGATCAGTCAGTGACAATGAGAAAATAATAACCCACTATCACCCAGAATTGTGGAGCTCAGGAGCATACTCATACTGACATTTTGACAATACAACTAAGCATTTTGACGATTAAAACAATGCTTTGTTTACTTTTCAGTTTGGTGGGACTGAATAATTTATTGGTGGAATTATTAGTTTTTGAGACATTAATTAATTGTTTTGAGTAAGTTACAGGCTCTTCTTCTAGAAAGTTATTCGTACGTATTTCCAATATGAACCAAACAAAAGCAAACAAACCTTGATCTGTCGTGTATGTCCAGCTAACCTCGTACAGTAATTAAGCTGTTATTATAAATTCGCGGTTGGCTGATTGGGGAGGCCGCTGTCGCCGGGGGACTCCTGGCCTGAGATGCTGCTCTCGCGCTGTGTTTGTGGCGCTTTCCCCTTGTCACATGGCCGGCGCCCATCCCGGCCAAACTGCCGACCTAAGCGGAATCTCCCCTGCACACCCCTTCCTGATTTCTCTACATTAGTATTTCTTAGATAAACTTCAATTTTTTATTTAAATACATTCATCAATAATACATAGACAAAGATGCTCAGATCACAAACTGAACTGTAACTTTGTATCGTCAGACAAAAATACTTTTTAAAAAAATAATTACGCATTAGTCCTCAGTAGCGAAAGCCCCTCTTTCCCACACCGCGCTAACTGGCTCGCGGTATTGGCGCATGCGTATCTGGCAACAAATGTGACGCAGGCAAAGCAGAGGTAGAGAGAGCTCATTTTGCACCTTGATTTATTTTTTTAAGCTAATACCTTTACTTGTTTTATTAACGAAAAATTGACTATGTTTGTAGTCATAGTTTATTTTCATATTGTCAGAGTGATAGAGTAAAAAACTGGTGCTTACTTGATCGCGGGCCCCACGCACTTTGCACATGGGTTTCCTCTCAAGGTCCAAAAACACGCAATCAGGCGAACTGGCGCTTTTAAATTGCCCATAATGTACGTTTGTGTGTGTGCCATGTCCTGGGTGGCCATCCTCTCCAGGGCATTGCGGAGTGTCTAATCAGGGAATTTCCTGTAGGTCACCCTAGCTGTGCGCTGACCAGGGTCAGCAAATATATTGTATTATTACTTCCCTGCTCCAAGATGTATCCCTGTATCTCTGACCAGGATTTAGCAGATTAATTGGTAAAGTAGCATTGTAGTTGCACCATTGCTTTACATACCTAAAGTGAGGGTTCAGATCCCTCCCCTGCTGTATGTGTGTGTGTGTGTGTGTGTGTGTGTGTGTAGAACTTGAGTGCGTATCCTTTGGACATTTTGGTGTTTCCCATTGGCCTCTCCAAATTGCACATAATGCGTAATTTAGTGTGCATGCCCTGCCTCGGACTGGCATGCGCTTCAGGATATTCTGTGTCTTGTGCCCCTTGCTTCCTTTGAGGGGCTTCCACCAAACCTGGGGGTTTGACGAAGTGCTGCATTCAATGGTGAAAGCAGTTTTCTGTTCTAATTTTTCTATTGAATTTGCAAAGAAAATGTATTTTTATTTGTTCAGTGCTACTGAAATACCATGGTACAGAGCTTAGAGAAGATCATTTACTCAGGTCACACGTAGCCACACATTCCGTGAATGTTTTGGATCTCGGGAACGGCAGCAGGTAGGCACATCGTGATGAGACACTGGGGCCTTGTTCAGCACGGATCCTGTTTTGTTTTCGCCCCCTTAGCAAATTCATCTGTGTAGCTGTTCTCTGGTCAGATAGTACAGGACAGGAAACATATTGAGATGAGCATAACTAAAACTGAACTATAATCAGTGTCCGCATAGTGTTGAAGCAGGATTAATGGAGACCAGAAAGAACCATACAAAGTACTACTTTGTTTTGTCTAGTTAAACTGCAGACTCATTTGACATGGATCGTGATGCGGCCCTTCATTACTATTTTGGTCACAAAGTATGCCAACACCCTAACAGAATGCTTAGACACTTTCATTATCAGTGAAAAGCCAAAAAGCAGTAAATTGAACCACAGGCAGCCATCCTGTGGGTGCTGGAGGGATGACACACCCACAGGAAGGATCGAATTACCAGTTTAATGCTTTAATGTGATTGGCCAGCTAGCTTTTTTAGTTGCTAGGGCGTGGATCTCAATCTGCATTCTTCATAAGGGCATGTTAATTGTATGTTAATTGTATCGCTGTTGAATTGTATGTGTGTTAGAAATATTACGAGTGGGAACATTATTTTAAAAATTAATGTTCCATTTATGCAGTTATGTGCCATTTCATGTTGTGTAAAATGTCGCTGATCTCCACACATCTTTACACTGTCACACCCTGCATCCCATCCCCCTCATTCAATCTGTTGTGTGGCACTAATAAACCACACCTGTTACTTGATTAATCTTGCCTCTCATTACAGCCCTTGTGAGGATCACCCCAAGTGCCTCTCGTTTGCTCCCTCGTCAGAAATGTATATAGTGCCTCCCTGTCTTGAACTCCCCAGTCCAGTCATTGATGTTGCTGCCTGCTCTCCCCAGTTTGACCTATGTTCTCTCCTGATCCCCTCGTAGTCTGTTTTCCTTTTACACTGACCTGTAATTTCAGTTAATAAGGCCCCCTTTCATTTTCCCAACACCTACATTCACCTCCATCCTTTCATGTGATGTGATACACTGCTTATATCCTACTGCTATTGGTTAGATTTGTTTAAGTTAAAATGTATAGGCTGCTGTGCGTGTGGGTGTTGCCGGGGGATGTTAACTATGTAGCGCACCCACTACCTAAGTCATTACAGAAGATAAATAATACCAGCAGGAACTTATTTTCTTGACCGGAAAAAATGTGGATTGCCTTCTTCTGGTGGGGGATGAGCTGCTGCCCAAAGTAGAGGAGTTTAAGTACCTTGGGGTCTTGTTCACAAGTGAGGGAAGAAGGGAGCAGATTGACATGAGTTTCCTCTGCAGGGACCCTGGGTTCATCCTTAGGGATAGGGTGACGAGCTCATATATCCGGGAGGGGCTCAGAGTAGAGCCTGTGTTCCTCTGCATCGAAAGGAACTAGCTGAGGTGGTTCAGGAAGCTATCTAGGACGCCTCCTGGATGGCTCCCTGGGGAGGTGTTACGGGCATGTCCAACCAGGAGGAGGCCCTGGGGCAGACCCAGGACACGCTGGAGAGGGGTTAAAAAAACAAAGTAGGTTAAAGACAAAAAAAAAGGCAGGGACCAACAAAGGAACAGCCCTAATACCCCAGCAGCAAACACACAATGACCAACTGAGGAAATGGGGCAAGGGCAGGTACATATATACATATAATGAGGGCTTCAACAAGGGACAGGCGTGGGCTGCTACAGAGTACTAAGGACTACAACTAACAAGAAACAGGTGAGCACGAGAATCACTACAGACACAAACTAGAAAAGACTAGAAACATAGGTACAGAACATAATGTAACTACAAGCAGGAGATAAGGAGCAAAAATAAGGAACTAACAGAAATACACCAACATAACCTAAAGAGGGGTACAGTATACAACAAAAAACGGTGCCGCTTTACATTAAGGCTGCCCTTATAAAGGGATTATCAATGGTTC